CATTCCTAGAAAACAGCAGACTCTCCAGGAAGAATACACTGCTCAGCCTTAAGAAAAACTACAGGGAATTACCTACATAGCCCCAGCTCTAGGACTTCCATCAGCAGTCACTCCGTCTCTACAACTTTGCTAATGCACTTGTGATAAATACGCTCAGCAACTGATGACCACAGGCCAACACTTGCTGCATGCCTAGAACGGGACAGTTCGACACAAATCTCATTTGACATTAATATGTATTTGGCACAGAGTTTAAACTTTTTATTTTAATAACGTGCTGCTTAAGTAAAAAGTTGGGGTATTTACCAAATGAAACACATTAACGCTAATATCACTATTATGTTGGGGCATTTTTGCTTCAAGGCCATGTGAAAGAGTAAAATTGGCAATTTTCGGTGAGAACCACTACATATTCTAGAGGAAAAGCCTAGTAGGAAAAGAAAAAAACAAAACCCTGCAATGCATTTTCTGATCTTAAAGCCAGAAAAGCAGCTTACACCTTTTTGCTGCTCTTAATTCACAGAACTACGTACTATTTTTTAAAAAAAACCCAGATTTTAGATTTTCATCTGGTAAACAGAAATCAGAGTCCTTGCAGCACTTGACTTCATGTTCGTCTAGTGGATGTATTAATTGCCAATTCAAATTACCTGAGGGTGGAGATTTGTACGCAGCAAAGCTGTGCCTCATGGGTAACAAAAAAAGATTTGTGCCCCTTGGAATATCACGAGTTCATATTGGCAGAGTTACTCAAATCCACTATCTAGAGCTACATTGACTTACGATTAACCTACAGTATATACATACAGGATACCCAAAATACAACTTCAGGAAACTTTATACAGTAAAACATTTCTGTGTTCCAACCTCAGCCTCTTTGGAAATCTCTTCTAGGAGCAGGTTCTTTTTGCTTAACCAGATTACAAATTCCCATCAGCCAGGAAACCAGGTAGCAAATATATATATCTAACCTCTGCAACATATCAGATCACCAGCACTGAAGGCAAGAGCATGAAATAATCTTGTGCAACCTCCAGTAACGCAGCCCAGTCAGACCAGAGCCTGCACAGGACACACTGAAAGCTGTCCTGTTCAACGGCAATGCACCGATTTTATTTTACTTGCTGCGCACTGAACTGCATCGCTAAATTTAAAAGTAAGAAATCTTATGCGGGAGACAAGATCATCTGGGTTATGAAGAAGCAGCTTTACGCTACTGGGTTTTTTCCACCCAGGCCTGTGAAGCAAGAGCTAGTTTAGCCCCCACTGCGATACTCTATCCCTGAAATAGCACAAAGGCTCAAAGCTTTGCTGGCAGGGACAGGGCTCCTTGCTTATCCCTTGCTTGATGTTGCAAATCAAGGATATCGTAGCCTCCTGCCAACCCACTTCATCTGAAAAGGCTGGAGCAGGGGCTGGCCTCTCCCTCAATTACTTTCTTCCCGGGAGCAGAGGTGATGGAGAACAGCAATTCCTCGCTGCTCTCCCCGGCAGCACCTTGTTGCTCCTGCAGCACCTGAACCCGCAGCAGCAAGCGGGGACAGCCTTGGGGGTAGCGGTATGGGAAACTGGCAGCTCCCAGGGAATTAACTGGGAAACTGAAAACCTCTCGGGGGGGTTCAGTCCCACAGGTTCAGCCATTTTTTCTGGCACAAAGCCTATCTATCTTTATGTTTCTGTTTAAACTTTTGCTTAAGTCTCCATGCTTATCTCTGTGTGGCAACTAACTCAACATGAGCCCTAAGCAGCTGTTTGATTTGTTTCCCAAATCAAACACCTTCCAAGAACTCGGCAAAATTACTTATCCTCAGCACTGAAACTGGCCAGTCAGTGATTTTTCATAAGCCATCAGAGGTATAACAAAGCACTGCCAGGGAGGGAAAGCATTGTAAGTACACTGTTGTCACTCGAAAGCTAGACCAGCATTCTCCAAGCTTCTCTAAAGCTTATTTTCTAGGTGAAGATGGCACATCTTCAATTTAAAGTCACCTCAGGGGACTTCCTCGAGTTTGGAGACTGAATAGTAAGGTCAATACCGCAACACCAGAGGCACGCTGGACAGGTGAGCAGATCGAATCACCAACACCATCTATCTGCAAAGATGCTCCGAAGTACTCAGGCAGCATGCCGTCACTTCTAAAAATACTAGCACAAACCAAGCACAGTAACCTTATGATAGGGTTCCGATTAGAGAGACAGTCGATCATTACAATTGTAATAAAGATGTGGATTTCAAGTGAGAAACAAACAATAACTTCTTTCAGCCAGAAATTCTAATATGTGAATTGAGGAACTCTTTCACTTTGCAAAAATAAACAGCCTGGTAAAATGATAAAACTATAGCATTGTAAAAGTAACGACAAGTTACAGACCTGTAGCGGTATTTCACAAAATGGTACTACATAAATTGGATTTAATTAAGGTGTGGGAATAGCAACTCCCATGGACAAAGTAATATTGAAGTTTGTAATGCAAGATTCGTTTATAATGCAATATTCCACGTTGACGTGGCACAGGACAAGGCAGCCGGACTTATTTCAATAGGGATCAAAATGGTTGCCATGGAAAGCGTGATTGTGGGGAGCTCAATAAATTCTCCCAAAGCTGATATTTGCAATGGTTAACATTTGCAAATCAAATCATGAAAAAAAAAAAAAAAAAAGTTGTGCCTCAGAGCAGAAACTTCAAAGATCTCACATACGCTCTCATTCCTCCATAAATATAGATAGATATCGTTATTCATAGCTTTCACAGGTACACTGGAGTTTATAAAGTCCATCTGACTTAAGGACATACAACCCATCAATGAAGGAACGCACGTAAAACATCCCTTATTATCAAACCATGTCACATTCCTTCTATTCGATGGCACTTATTGGACTGCAGATTCCATAATCCTTCCCTGAGTCCCTTCTGCATTTAATTCAGTTCAGCCTTAAGTAGTTAAAGAAACTGTTTTCAGTGGCAACTAATAACTACTGACCTACAGTGACACTGCCCTACAATAGGCTTGTCAGGCCTGAAAAACTTGTACCAAAGAAGCTGATTAGGACTTCAAGAGGTTTGTAGCAAGAATCAATGGCTAGTCTGTACTAATGCTGCGGTTGCGGCACAGAAATGATAAAAGTGGAACACCATTAGTTATGCCTCATTAAGCTCCACAGCCCTCCTAAAAAGAAATTTGTTTAGCCTGTCCAAAATCTAATGCAGTTTTAAGCTCTCTGTGTTCAATTTCATAGTATCTCAAAAGCTTCAATAAGATAAAGGCCAAAGAACCAAGAACGGTACCAAAGCACCAACAGTAAAGTTAATTTTGAAGTCTGAGTTTTAATGGAAAGTGTTTTTGCCTTCTTTTTTTTAATACAAAGTACTCGAGCCTTTTAAAGGATGAACACCACGTAGTGCACTCACAAAATATAAATAAATCATGGACATTAATTAACTTAAGAAAAGCCTGCTGTACAGCATGATTTCAACAAATTTAAACAATAAAGTTCAAAACAAAGAGGGGGGAAAAAAAATGTTGTGAAGCCTGGCAGAAGCAAGTACATCCTCCTGGCCACGTTTTACAAAACTTCAATCCCTCCTGCCTTACCTTTGCGGTGTCTGTTGAAACAAGGGCGTAGGACCTCGCCAAGACTCCTGGGGTCTAAGATCTAGAAGGTAAAACAAAACGTTAAAATAGTTTTAAGAAGTCAAACAGAAAAGCTCAAACTGGATATACTACCAAATACACTTCACCAAGTCGTTGGCTACTACTGCTGATTTTGGTAGAGCCCTTATGTCCATCAGTGGCAAGCTTAGTACTAATTAATAAAAGGCAACTTTTTTTTTAGTATGTCCAATAAGCTTCAAGTTATAAGAAGAATCAATTTTAATTGCTAGAACTAGCATTGGTTAGTGCTGAACGCTTCACATATATCTTCCCTTGAATTTTTAAAAATGCAAAACCATGTCTTACCATTAACAACTGAAGACATCATTTAATGTTTACATTTCTTACAAGCACATTCATCTCTACGCTACATGAAAAAGCTACAGACACATATACACGCACCCCGCTGTGCCGTCACCACAACGCACCATGTTTGTGAGCAACACATTTTTAATATTCAAAATATGTGCAAGTTTCCCTCTGACAGGCTGAGTTATTCTATAAAGCAAACTAAAAGAATGACCAGAGCATGTAACAAAGCAAACAGTTCCACTTTATTCACGTTTAAATAGTTATATTTAGAACATATTTAAAGACAGTAAAAATATATTTAAAAGTTAACCTAGACAATGATAATATAATAATAAAAATCTATTAATGATCTCTCAGATAATGTAATCAGACTGAATTAAACCCTTTGGGGTAAAAACTTGGCCAGAGACCTAGCATTGCAGTTATAAGAAACTGCAATGAAAAAGACCACCCACTTCTCAATTGTTTCTTCTACCCAAACTAACTCTGTACAAAGACGTAGCAGTAACAACATTGCTTTAACAGGACATGCAATTAAACGGTTGTTGTTCTTCTAAATAAACTGCTCAGTAAACAGGATAAAAGAAACAGCTAATCAATAGCTCCCCGGTCAGTCCACAACACTCAAATTGTGCATCAATCAAAAGCTTCAGTTTCAGTGACACCTTTGATTATTTTCAATGGTGTTTAAGTGTGACCTAATTTCAACAGCTGGTTCCAGAAGTTGTCTAATGGACGTGCTGTGATGGGACAGTAAGGCCCTGTTAAACTGCCAATACTCAAGTACGCTGAAGCTTTGCAATAATTTGAAAGAAAAGGGGAAACAAAAAACAGAGGGAAAATCCGTGCCTCTCTCCTGACTCTGGCTGGATGGTCCGAGCCGGACAGAAACCGTTCACAGCAGCACTCGAGCGTGCAAGGGAGGGTGCGGGCAGCCCCCGTTGAAGATAACACCGTTTCGTCAGGGGAAATAAATTCTGATCGCCAGCAGCTCCGCTGTTCCTGCCTGGGCCTCCTCCGGGCAGAGCTAATCCAGCCCACCCAGCCCAGCAACCGCCTGAGCTGCAGAGGGGTACGAGCTGTGTCTTATCTATTTATTAAACGCTGCATGCATACACACCCCCCAATATATACACCTCTCTATCCTTATATATATACACATACACACTGTTACCAACCGATGCTCATAATCAGGTGTAACTGGTTATTTCATATACACTGTAATCAAACCAGTCTAAAGCATCACAAGGACTAAAGATAGATATGCGGCACTTCTATACTGTGAATTACAAGGACTTTTACCCACACACCAGACCGTACTAACACCACGCTTTAGTGATGCTGTGTTTGCTTTTGAATACAAGATTAGTGCAACACAAGAAAAGGAAGGCCCATAATGTCTTCAGCTACTCTGGGGGAAACAAACAATTAAGACGCAATGTTAAACTGAAGCTTAAAAGATTAAAAAAAAAAGCACAAAGATGAAATTGCTAAAAAAAAAAAAGGAAATAAAAACATTTGGTAAAGCCCAAGCATGTCATTATTTTCAATCAAAAAACATCCTAAGACAACTTTATTTCTAATAATTTCAAAGTTTCACAGACACCAGAAACCACAGAAATACATGCAGTACAGAAGAACTGAGGAGTTCTGCCACGAAAGCTTTCAGGTGCACAAACCCCCTCCTATCTGTAGTTCCTAACACCTGTAGCTCTTCACCTGCAGCTACCAGGATGAGGGCCAGGTTTTGGCGCTGTCACCACAACCAGACCTGCAGCTCTCCTAGGCCTGGCTCAGTTCTCCTTTTGCTTGCCGGCAGACACAAACTTCCAGGAAGAAAAAGCCCTATATTCCAGGAAAAATAATGGCCGCGTTTCCCCCACCCTTCTCCTCTGTGCAGGCTGAGCTAGGCAAGACCCCCAAGTATCCGGACAATTACACAGACTAATAGAGTCTCTCCCTCCCTGGTCAGAACTTCACATTTTAATTGAAGTTTATTAACACGTTTTCCATTCCACTGCCAGGGTCAAATGGTGCTCTAGTGAGAAACCCAGTGAGATGACGCTGGTCTCGCCCTGGTACGGCGCTTCCCATTCATACAGACCCCTGCCTAAGGGCTAGTTAAAAACGTCCTATTTAATCACTTTCTTTCCATCTGAAAAAGAAAGGACCCGGCTCTCCTGCTGTAACCACATCTTTCTGCAGCTCTAGGGAACAGTTAAGAAAGAGTTTAATGAAATCATCATAAAAACATTTAAAGCCACCTTATTACTATTCATTCGTATGGCTCTGACAGAGAACAATCTTCGAGGGAAAAAGCTTGGAGCAGTGAATTGCACTTCAAAAAGGTACAAAATCGGAGGAGAAATGAAAATTAATATTTTCTTTAGTTGTCAAAACTTAGGCATTTCCTAGAGCTATAAGGCCAAATAAACTGCCTTCTCTAGCAGCTCCTCAAGTAACAATTTATCTAATCAGTGTGGCAATCAAAGACGAGATTTTGTGTTTACTGATTGCACTAATCAAAATCACTTTTCAAATGCAGCTAATTGACAAGTTTACTGACTGAAATGAAAGTCATAAATCAGATACCCTGTGCTGCAGAAACCAAATATGCCATTCACAGAGTACTGCCATACTGCACTTGACTCCCCAAGTTATCAGCACAGACAATTATTCATCAACTGAAAATTGGCATGTCAAAGTCAAATCAGAGAACAACAGTAAGGAACACCCACAGCAGGCTCTTGAGGAAGAGATGGCACTTTGGTTGACCGTGTTGCCCTTCTAGAGTCTAATTTTACTTCACCATACATATAAGAACATAATACATAAAATGTAAAGTTGCTCTGCATCAATCCCACAAAATGTGGGAATTTTAACCACATCAGCTCTAGTTTTTCAGGAACACGCGGGTTCCGGACACGTGGTTTCCAATCCAATTATGCCACAACATACAGCTGTTCTCTCACAATTATATAGCTGATGAACGGGACTTAGACACAAAAGAGATAATCTGCTCCATTAAGAAAACTCAGCATATGCCTTCCCATTCCTTCTAATTTGATTTTGTAGTTGGAAGATACCTGTGCTTTGACAGAGACATTTGTGCTTGAACCAAAGGGGGTGACTGCAAAAGGCAAGAAGATAGCTGTGCTGTCAGATCTAGGAATGCCTTTTGGTACTCCTAGATACCCAACGCTGTCTGGGGGAAATTGGCCCACATGCTCAATTCTGACCGCTAATTTCCATCGGAGCAAACACGCTGTCCATGCAGGCTGTTCCTGTTCAATAAGATGACCACCAGCTACTGCAGTGAGGTTCAGAGTTGCTGACACGCTCCCATCTCGACAGGTTTGCTTCACACTCAACCCACACAATCCATAATCCAGGATGTGTTACGGTGTCCACGTGTGGTCCCACTTGCAAAAGCATCCTTCAGTGTGAATGTCAGAAAGATTGATTTCAGCACAAACTTTGGACTATGACACTTGGACATATTCTTCTAACAAGGGTTTGACCCTTTTAGCAGGGTCTCTACCTGGTAAAGGAGGAGTTAAGACACATGCGGCCACTTAGCATCGATTAAGTCAACTGCCACTGCAGTTAGTTGTAAAGACTTCACACTGCAGTTGGTTTAAATCAGAAGTTAACCAGAGTTTAAGACTAACCTCCTAGGACAGCTTGGTATCATTAATAGAAGAGGAGGAGAAACACAACAAAGTTAACTGACAAAGAATACATTTGCAGCATGTCGCACAGCAGTCTCCCACAAAAACAGAGAGTGCCAGGAACCAGCTTCTCGACTCCGGGATGAAGAGCACTGAGAGCAATGGCAGGCGCACAACCCCTGCTGTGTGAAAAAGCCTTTGTATGACGACTGCCGGCAGCATGCAAAGCAGCGTGCCGCAACGGCGGCTGGAGGGACCAGCGGGTTGACCTGGCACCTCTTTTTGCTGCCTGAACAGGAAAGCACGAGATCAACCTCTGCCTAGTGGAAAAAGAAGCATTAAGTGGCCAATGAGGTGGGGGGGAGGAAATCAAACAAAAAAAAAACCCCACTTTGCTTTCAGATTTGCCAGGTACATACACCTGCAGAACAGCAGCTGGGGATGCCTGAAGCAATTTGAGGGTGAGGAAGGGGCAGGAGATGAAGGGAGGAAGGGATGCATGAAAGAAAGCCACCAGTCAGTTTTTCTGAGGCCAACAGATGGACTGGGATTTCATATCGATCAGTGGATTCAAGCCTCCTCAATTTGAAAGAATGATGGCATTGGGGCATATTTGCATGTGGAATGCTTCCTATACAACGCAAGGTGCTCAGATGCCAAGAGGACGAGAGCTTTTTAGTACCTAATTGGCAAGATCAGCTCCATGTACGTAAGGCACAGAAAACTGCTTTGAAATAAGTATTTCCTACAAAGTGTCAAGACTCAAGCTTCAGAAGACATGAACAGCAGTATAGGGACTGATGGGCTCACACATACTTTCTCTCTCCCCAAAACAACACAGACTTTCTCTTCTTGGAGATTAATACAAAAATGCGATGCCTGTCTGGTAGTTCTGCCTTCCCATTCCCCACACTCTTCTTTTTAGATCTTATTTCTTGTTTGTTTAAAAACCCACTTGCTTTCCTTTAATCAAAGTTAATAGCTCCAGGCTCTCATATTCAGTCTGTCTCTCCACTTAAACTAATCTGATTCCTCGCACAAGAAAGCTTCTGCACCCACTACTCAACTACACTTCATCTACTTTGGGACTGGATAATAAGTTTAATTCAGAGTAGCCATCAATATTATTTATTTGTTGTTTCATATGCAAAAATGCAAGTATAAAAAGGCTGACAGCTTCACTATGCAGTAATCTGGTCTCCTACACGTGACAGAAGGTTGGAGTTCAAATGAGTCAGCTGTTTAAACCTCAAACACTCACATAATGCAATATTGCAAGAATTCAGCTGAGCAGTGAGAACTTCTTACTTTAAAGCACCTTTTAGGCAGTTTAGCCAAGTCTCCTCCTGTCTCAATCCCACCATTACAGAAATGCAGCTCCTGATCACAGACGAAGAGATGGGACTCTTACCTAGTGTCCTTCTGGGAGCCCTTCGCACAAGCGAGTCCTTCCCAGGATGAAGAACTCCACTTTAGGTCACGCAGAACTTATCTTACCGCTTCCAGTGACCCGCTTGTTCACCAAGCCAACAGCAGTGGCATCCCTGACCATCTCCTACCACCTCTTTGCCAGAAGTGGCAACGCCTACCGCAGGCAGAAGCCAATACAGGACTGTGAATTAGCAATTTCTGTTCAGTCTGGCATCTCGGCACCAACCACAGCTCTTCTGTCAGTCCTACAATCTCTCCTGATCTACCACCATGCCTTGTGCATTAATTGTTTTCTGTGGCCAGCTTCCTCCTCCTGTTGTTCTCTTCAGACACAAAGCACTGAGCTCCTACTAAGTCTGCTGATGCTGGTGATGTTGCGATTCAGCCACATGTTGAATATGTGCCAGATAACAGACACTAGGAAACCTTAGTAGACAAAGTGCTATTTTTCCTATTGCACTTGAATACTGGGCGCAGTATTCAAAATGGGATCCCACTTACAGGCACATAATTACATTTTAGTACATTTTACTACAGCAATTCCATAAAGGAAGAACAATAGAGAAGAGCAACACAAGGGTAATGAAGACGGATGCCTGAATCCACTTTTTTATTTGTAATAGTGCAACAGACCAAAAGAAAACTGTACTATTTTTCAAACTCTAAAATGTAGAAAACAGAACCCACTTACTTGACAACAATTTAGGAATCTGCTGCTGCCCACTCAGAAGTGGCCTGGTGTACGGGCTCCCGTAAGTTCCAAGAGGTACTGCGTTGGCATACATTCCTGGCATCCCTCTTGCCCTTGGCATCGTATGGCTATTATGTGTAAGAAATGGAAAGGAAAAAGGATAGGATGTTTTTATCAATGCCATCTTACAGCACAGCTGCTACCCAGCCCATCAAATACCCCAGCTCTCCCCAGTGGAGACGTGCACAAGCACGATGCAGTGACTTGCTTACAGATCAGGGTCCCGGGCGCACCACAAACAAAGCACATGCTTTGTGAGCTGGTCCCAGCAAAAATTCTGAAGTTTCTACAGCAAACCACAATAAGCAGAAAAACATGTATTTCCTGCAAACTGTGTAGGAGTTCAGTAAAGCTGAACTGCTGTCACATTTCCTAATAAGTGAGAGTTGACAGAGATGCAGGATCTGCAAATGTTGGCGTGTCAATGTTTGCCAGGCCTTCGCTCTTTTTCCTGGGCAGTACTACATTCACATTAAGACTTTGATGCTTGTGGTGTCTGCTACCCTGGACAGCAATTTAATGAGGCACCACATGTAATCAATAACACAGGTATATTTTTTTTTTCTAACTATGACATGGAAGAACAGAAGATGGTTCACAAGTGTAGCACTGGAACAATTATGCTTTTGAGCACACAAATGGAGGGAAGGGTGCTGCTTTTTCTTCTCCCAGCTCCTCCAGAGCTGTAAGATGAAGGTATTTTTTCTTCCTAAAAAGATACTCATGTTCAGTTGCTCACAGAGTTTAATTTTATTTGCTAGTATTACAACCTCCTTTAAAACATTCTCTTTTCTGGCTCCAATAAACGTATGGCTCCTTGCATTCCCCAGTAAGGAAAAACATTTCATTTTATCTGTAATACATAACCCCAGCTCATTCTCTCATCCGGAGCTCAGAAGCATTCTTGTACTACACTGCAGCACCTGAGAAAGTTACTTGGACTTTTGGAGAACTAATAAAAAATGACCATGGCAATGCCTTGAAAAATGACAATCAAACGGATTGTACGGTGTAATGCATGTGCTTCAAACAAGGGTTTTTAAAACCCATTTTTAAAAGCATAAAAGGCATTACCGTCTTCATAAAAATCTTAATTATCACTTGTGTGCAATATTCTCATTGTACCTTCTGTACTTCAAGTGAGCATCCACCAAACAAGTTGAAAAAAACCAATGGGAAAGCTAGTTAGAAATATTTAGTAGAAAAAATACAAACCCCAAATCAAGAACAATGCAAGGCATTATGGCAAAATCATCGTAATATACAGTTTTCATCAATACTGAATTTAAATATCACATGCCAAAGTTTCCAACATGGAACACCAGCACCTAATCTCTGACAGTCCACCCCCCCCCCCCCCTTTTTTTTTTTAAATAAAAAAAAAAGCAATAAAGGAGTATAGTCATCTCAGCAAGGCAGTAAATAACAATGCTGCTCATCTTACCCTAAAGTTCTAAACACTGACTGGTCCAAATGGACTGGTTTTCTGTCTCGATTAAAACCAAGCTGCGGTCTCCAAGGCCTGCCATCATTGTTGGTTTTTTCCCAGTCTCCTGGCTTCAGAACTGGAGCAGGTTTCCTTAGTATTAAAAATAGTTCCATAAATATGTATCAGAGCAAATACTCAGATTAATGAAAGAAAACAGAATCATTTGAAAACTGACAACTGATACTTACTTTGCACCAGGTAACACTGTAGCCTTGAAAACAAAGTCTTCATCAAATTGTGGATCTTTGAAAGAGATGCTAGGAGAAAGTATTGGAGGATTAGGTTTACATGATAAGCAATACAAGCAAAATTAAAAAATAATTGCTGCTTTATTAACAACGATGTACACAACAGAAAAGATAAGATTCAAGAACCCATGACTTAAACCGCAAAGTGCATTTCTTGCACACGGATATACTGACTATATTGGACTTGGATGTCTCAATTATTTTCCACAGGGTGACCTTTTTCCTCTTCTGTATCAATAGCCAGTCCAAAAGAAAGTTTAATGTCTAGAAAACAGTTAGTCCTATGTATGGTAATGAAAGTATCTTCTGCAGACCCTTGAGTACAAATCCTCTCGTCAAAGCCCTGATTGTGCTTGGTTAAGTTCAAAGGCTGCCACAGCGTAGACAGGAAGGATATCAGCTTGCTATGCAGTCTAGTCAAAAGTGTACGAAACTTAGAAGTGGGATTTCCTGGGCCAGGGAGTTTTTATCCTGAAAGGCGGCTTTGCAGTTGCATGCAGTTCCTGTGGAGGGATATACACCTATTTGCAGTGACACCTCACAGACCCTGCATTTTGAGCTGTCTAGTATTAGACACACTAAATAGTAATAGAGGAAAGAGTGGCTGAAAGCTTAATTTCTGCTGGTACAACGCGTTAAATCGCAGCTTGGGTTTGGTCTAGGAAGATTCATCCACGCTCCTAGCAATTCCCATCTCCTGGTGTAAGTATCCAGGTCTCAGGTAGGTCCCACCAGGGACATGTTTGAAGTACACGGCACCAACCTGCTTCACTTCCAGTTCTCTCACTACCTACCATTTGATATAGAAGAATGCTTGGGATGCCAAGAAAGATAAAAGCAAACAACTAAGCAGAATAATCTCACTCTTCCAGCTGAAATACATCTGTTCTTCAGCAGAGAATAATGAGACTCAAAAGGAAAGAGAATAATGGTCCCTTGGAAAATTCAGCCGAAGTCACAAGAACTGAAGAGCAGAATCATGACTGCTCATACTATCTCAAAAGACAGGAAGAAAAATCCTTGCAACAGAGAAATAGACAGAAGCGTAAAACAATTCAAACCTCCTGACAGTGGCAGATAGAAAGCCAAAAACTACCTTGAACTCATCACTCAAAGTAACTAAATCCCCATTTCAGAACATCCTTTCTACAATATCCTGACAAGCCACAACTTAACATTTCTTACTGCCTGTAGATAGTTGTTCTAGTTGCCTCCTTGGAGGACAAAATTATGCAGACAGATCACAAGTGATTGTCAGTGTCTCAGGTATCTTATGTGGCTCAAGAAGTGAAAGGTTATAGGCTCAAGCATTACATACCTATCATACTGTGCCAAATTAAGTCAGAATGACATACAACACACCAGATCTACAGAAATTTGATGTCAAATGCAAGAGTAGTGAAAGTCTTCTGTGACCCCAAGATTGACTCTTGGAAACTCCGCATTGTTTTTTATTCATTATGAAGTTTCTTCTTATTCTCCGAAATGTCACATTTAGGCAAAATTAGTATTAGTCCTTTACTTCTTAAGGACACGAAGCTTATATTCTGTGGCACCCTCTGGGAATTGCTAGGAATGAAAATGGATAAAAATCCAAGAGGCAAAAATCAACAGCTGGAGGGCTTTCAATCAATACCCAATTCTGTCTCAGAGGCTTGCTCTCATGAACTTTTGGTTTTGTTTAATTTAAAAGGCTTGATACAGACTATCAAGTTCTGTAGGTGTTGCTTTTTGCTTGCCAAAGACCCAGAAGTCCCAACAGAGGGGAAGCAGAAAAGCAACAGCAGGAAAGAGGAGGTATTTCTGAAGGGATGAAACACACTGCGTTTGATGCCCTGAGAAACCACTATTTTGGACATCTCTGCAGGGCACGCCACCACACGCTCTGCTTAACCACCCTAACCCAAACCTGCTGCATTACAACGTATCTTGGATTCAATTCTCACAGAAAACCAGAAGCATTTAAAGTAAAAGCTTCAGTTTTATTAAGAGAGGGATTCTGTTGCAAATTCAACAACACAAACCACCAGAATAAACTGAGTTTTGATTGCTGTATTTTGTACGCCGTTGCATTAAAACCCAGAGTTCACTTACCTGACTGCAGAATTTTGTGCAAGATCACGCAGCATTGGAACAGGAGACTCCACTGTCCTGGTAAAGAGAAAAACCTCTGTCAAAACGTTTTGTTATGGATTTCTCACAACTTGCTCCACTTTCTCTGTTGCTAGCACTCCCATTCCTCTGTCAACTAAGCCTGCGACACATAAAAGGGGTTTCAAAATTAACTTGCCTTTCCCCTAAATCAGACACTTTTATAAGCAATGGAATTACTGGATCCTTATTTCTTAATGTCACTACTTTTGCAGCTGATCTGTGTGGATTCTCCAGTGTCTAACAGTGAGTTCATGCACTTCCCACTACCCAGTGGCCTGTTTACAAACCTTAATGCTATTCTTGGAAACTTCCAGGTACTACTAGGGTTTGATTATAACAAACTGACAGGTTCTAAGAGGGCAGGGGAAGACCAGAGAGACAGACACACATGAAGACACCATGGAGACACAAACCTGCTTCCTCTACTAGGAAGAAAAAGACTTTGAAGTGTAAAAAAAAAAAAATTAGCAGCTGTTTTCCACAGTCTCCTTTCTAACTGAGATTTAATAGCCTGACATGCAGTTGCACCTTAACCCTTTCCTTCTTTCCTCAGAAAACTTTACCCCTTCAATTCAAGCAGACAAATAACATGCTTGAGAAAACTACTCTTACCAATCAGAAACCAGATTCCTTTGTTCACCTACTGCGCACAACTGTCACATACTCACAATACACAGAGGTCGCAAACTATATGCATGCTGGCTGAATTTGATCCAAATCTTTTTAGCAAAGTAAGACTTAAAGTGGTGATATAAATGCCTGCCTTCATATCTTCACAGAATTCCTAGCAAACTACTTCTCCAGGAAAAAAAAAACCCAAACCAACCAAAACCATTTCCCACACCCTATCTAGGGAAGGCAATGCCAGAAGAGTTTTCTTTTTCCTGCATTGCTATTTCCTCCAAGAACAGCTCTGATTTGCTCTTATTCTTTGCAAGCCATGACAAGAATAGAGAAATGTATATTAGTAAGTGTGACCTCGGATACATTATCTGTCCAACAAAATCGGAGTGTTTGTGCATTTAATGCAAATGAGTTACTGAACACCTGCTTATGCCTCTAAGCAAAGTTAGATAAATGAATGCATATCCTACAATGTGAAGATTGCACTGATAATTTCTCAAACTAAATGCGTTATCTAGAAAACAAAAAATATTAGCATTTTTTGTATGTGTAGCTGGTAACAGTCCTGAATTTAGTGCTATAGCCTGAATAGAAAATGAAAAAAAATATATCTCTATCTGGACTTTTTCTTTAATGCAATTAAGATTAGTATATAAAAAGCAGAGTTGTTGGGTTTTTTTTAAAACAGCATGTGCTATTGGAAGTTACATCAGACTGCATTAAATTATCATTCACACAAAAGCTCAGAGGCCAAATCAACATGACCTCACCCAATAAGGCCACTGTTCACTACTACTTTTGTTATACAATCCCTATTTACCTATTAAAAAGTTCAAACATTACTAAATACATAAAAACTAGTCTTCCACAGATGAAGCGACAAAAAAAAAAAATATTCACCAGAACACATATTAGAGCACTTCAAAGATTTCTGATGCTGCTTTAAAAGCCTAGTTCTGAAATACAAAAATAAAAGGATCATGGAATGAAAGTTTTACTTGCTTGTGTTTTTACATTAAGTGATAATAATATACACCTACTATGAAACCTAGTGGAATGCATGTTTAGCCTCAGACCTAAACACATTGCCTTGTCAGGAGTTTTAGGTTTCTTGTTGTGTGCACAAAGAGATTTTTATTTAAATGCAGGCATAATCGAAGGAATATCCTTTAGCATCAACCAACCCATAGCAAAAGCTATACTCACTGGTCTGGAAGAACAGCATTGTCATTCAGTGTAAGCTTTCCCTGGATTCCATGGCACAGCTCTGGGGGTATATCCACTGGCTACGGAAAAAACAATTTTTCAGCTGAAGCACTTCATTAGACCTCCACCCTCACCATTTACACAATCCCTTATGAGCAAGTACAACCTACCTCTGTATTTTTGGTCTTGTACTGTTCTACAATAAAGTCACAAAGTGGATGGTGTTTTCCAACAAAGAGAACATCACCACCAAGGCTATTTCTTCTGCCTAGAAAAGATGAAGAAAATGGGATAAGAGTTCAGAGCAAAGAGGGAAGGAAGAAATACAGCAGACCAGCACACGGTCACGTTGACATATCCAGAAAAGGAAAGCTTCATTGTCATTTAGCAGAAAGCGTTGAACATTCCTTGAAGAGTGCTGGAAAGAGAGCGTCTCCGCCCAGAACGGGATGTCTCTGGTCACAGGGTAGTTGGCAGACAGTAAAACAACGGGAATCTTGTGTTCAGTGGGAGGAATGTTGAATTTAGAACAGAGTAATGTTGAAGATACAGACAGGCTGGGTTAAAAAAACAAACAAAAAACCAAACCACAAACAAACCAAAAACCCCCCAAACCCACACAACTCCCGAGCAGTTTACCTACAAGAACCAGCTATTATTTTTGGGCAATGGAGAAGGTAGCACGTACATTTGCCTATATAAGCTGAACAGGAAGCTTCACATACCATAACTGGACACAGCCAGCCTACTGGTCAGAACAGCCAAAACACCTACCAAGTTTTACCAGCAACTCTAACCTTGGAAACAGAGTTTATTCTTTTGATTGCAATATATTCATCTAACAAGTACTTTGACAGAGCATACTGGTAGAAGCTTTTCATATAATTAAGCTGCCATCGAATCCTCACGTTAAGTCTTATGCAGGTCTACCTGAGTAAATGGGAAAAGTAAGTGAAAGCTACAAACACAAACCCACTGAGGATCATTCTAATTACGAGCACCATACATGAAGAAGAGGCTACAGCCTGCCATGATGCAATGTAACCAAACAGCTATTATCCCTTGCTCATTTAGGGTGAAACGCAGCAGTAATAACAAGCTGTAACAAAATATCACAATTCTTACTTTCTTCAGGAGTGAGGTCAGGGTAGACTTCTTCCAGGGCAGCTCTAAGGCGTCGCTCGTCAACAAATGGCAACAACGCAACACCTAGTAAAACCAAAACATTATTTTTTCCCCACTTGTTGCAGGGGGAAGACACTAGCATGGAAAGCTCCAACAGATTCTTTACCCAAGAAACAACTGTAGCATCAGTCACGAAAAGAAAACCCTACATTTTCAGAGACTGTGGCCCTGCAGGCTGTTCAGAGAAAAATAGTTCAGTGGTAGTGCAGGTTGAAAAGGGAAGCTTATCCCCAAGCAGCCCTCCATCCTCCTCCTCCTCCCCAGTCCTGGGTAGGCACTGGGAAGCAGTAACCTCTGCCCACACCTGCCTCAATTCGGAACAAGACGAGCTCAGTAAGACAGTCATTATTTGTCTCATTTGCTACAAATACTCCCCTGACAGAACTCAATGCTACTCTATTCAAATTAATTTATTAAGAGACAACAATGGAAGAAATCACTCCAAGTTCAGCGACAATAATATACAGATATTATCCATTAGGGACTATTCATACCAGCTATTAATTTTACTCCAAGATGACACGGAGGCTCCTCTCAGGATCAAAATCCCTCACTAAGCAGCACATCTCAGAGCCCACTCAATCATATGGGATGAAGCTGGAGAATAGCCTTGCCTGGTATGCTCCAGTATATGTTTTCTTCCGTTATAAAATCAAAAAATGCAGAAGACATTTACTATGAAAATTCTTCGAAGATTACTTGTCACTTTTATTATCAGTTGGAATCTGGAGTAATTATTTCAGTTTACCTCCCTTACTATGAACACTAGAGCTTTTCCTGACCAAGATGACAGCAAAGGCTTTCTACTAAACTGATATTCATAGTTTCCTATTTGTGCCTGTACCAGGTCTACCAGCAGGCAGATCTCGTCATCGCTCTAAGGTACAACATTCACCGAGACTTTGGACTTCAACAGACTTAGACTCCCGATCTAGAACTCGGTCTGCCTGAAACACTTCTACTTCAGAAGTTAGATCTTTATATGGCTTTATTAAACAAATACTATTGTCCTGGAGCTGAAGGAAAGGGGACAACGTAAAACTTCACCTGAAGTGTAACTACACCAGAAGCTCCCACCCTCTCTTAACAAAACCAGTTTGGAACAAACCTCAAATAAAGTGTTAAATATGTCAGAAGTTTAACTGAACCAGAATTTTATTTAGCCTACTGTGAAATAATGAGGAGCAGAGCTGTACAGCCTGCTGTTGCCGACCTCACCAAACAAGAAATCTGCCCTGTCCCTGCTCCTGACGTATGAGGATAATCTTCACGCAGACTGACTACTGCTTTATCAAAGACAGCCCCAGACCTCAGCCATGTTCAAATTTCAGCTGGAATGTAACTACTTGTGAAGGGAAACAGTGATAAGCCTACCCTGGAAAACAAACAATTTATTTTCACCTTCACAACACACTGGTGGAATGACAACAAAGCGGGAAGTGTTCATAACCCAGGAGATTGCAAAAAGGATCAGTGCTGAGCTTTCAGAAGCGTAATGACATCTCTAAAAGGAAAATCTTCAAACATTTCATTAAGAGGACAAGGTATACTCAATGCTTTTTAACTGAGATAGTCTGTAGTTGCAGCTCGGAAAATATGTGTTTCACAACTGCCTCTTAAGCATGAGAATTCCAGATGTTAACCCAGAACAAAGAGTTTACAATGCAATTAAGCATTAAATGAATCAAAAGTAACGTTACAGGCTGCTGAAAGCATGTGGGAGCTACTTAAAACACTACTGCTTTAGACTGTAGATTTGATAACTGGACAGAAGGACTACGGAGAAGTTGCCGGAATTAGAACAGGGGTAAGAAAGGGCTTCAAGTTAGAGGGAAAACCTGCTATGCAACACATCTCATAATGCCTAGGAATATTCTCTTTGCTTTTGCAACACTGTCCTGAGGTCAGATACTCTTGTGTCTAACTGTGGCTACTTCAAAACATAAGTGAGCTGCCTTGGGGAAAGAATCACAGAATCGTTGATGTCAGCATGGTCATGGGCTGCAGCAACCTCTGGAGGTCATCCAGTCCCATCCCCTCTGCTCCAGCATGGTCATGGTCATGGGCTGCAGCAACCTCTGGAGGTCATCCAGTCCCATCCCCTCTGCTCCAGCATGGTCATGGTCATGGGCTGCAGCAACCTCTGGAGGTCATCCAGTCCCATCCCCTCTGCTCCAGCATGGTCATGGGCTGCAGGAACCTCTGGAGGTCATCCAGTCCCATCCCCTCTGCTCCAGCATGGTCATGGTCATGGGCTGCAGCAACCTCTGGAGGTCATCCAGTCCCATCCCCTCTGCTCCAGCATGGTCATGGGCTGCAGGAACCTCTGGAGGTCATCCAGTCCATCCCCTCTGCTCCAGCATGGTCATGGGCTGCTCAGGTTGCCCAGGACCATGTCCAGCTGAGTCTGGAATATCTCCAAGGATGGAAACTCCACCACCTCTCTGGGAAATGTGTTCCAGTGTCTGACCACACTCAGAGCAAAAATGTGCTTTCTTATGCTCAGATGGAATTTAATGTGTTTCATTTTGTGCCCAAATCATTATTTATACCTATAATTGAGATGTTACACTATTGGCTGAATAGTGTGACCCGCTACAAAATTTGGCAGACCTTTAAAATCAATATTCTCTAAAGAAATAAGAAGCTGCATTAAATACTGTAGCTGTTTTTTCATTCTTTGTATGCATCCAAATATTTCTATATTCCCCAAAGCATTTTTTGCAAGGTACTAATGAGCTACTGATTGAACAGAACAAGATCCATTAATTAAATGCAAAGGAGACAAAAGACAATTACACAGTAAGGCTGATAAAAGTAGAAAAATGATTAATCTAGTTCAGGACAAATTAACAAATCTAGAATGACTGCTGAAATTACTAATAATCATTGCCAATCCTAAATCAGTTACTGAACCATAATTTGTTTTTCATACTAATTTCTTTTCAAAAATATACCTGCTGCAAAATACTTCTCCCCCACACCAAGTAACACAAGTTGCCTGTGTGACTGCTGCATCGTTATCTCACTAAGATAATTTTCCATTTTCTTGCTATTTTTACATAGATTCTTAAGACTAAGGTCAAAACTATAGACTATAGCAAAAAAAAAAAAAAAAGGTTGAAATTTCACCTTGCCAAGCGTATTTCTTCCCATTTAAATCAATAGCAAAATCTTCAGGGTAGAAGTCAATTATGCTTGATTCCTATATTTGAGAAAATAATAATAAAAAAAAAAATCATTAAAGCCAATTATGAAATTGATTCAGAATGCCATGTAGTACTGTGCTTCGCAGAGAGCGAGCAAACACAAAGCTAAGGAGGATACAAAGAACTTTGACTAATAGAAACATCTGCTATTAACTGCCATTTAAACATAAAGTGGGGTAGGGCATATCCGTTACTTAGAGTATCAAAACAAGAAATTAAGCAGGATAGAATAATTCCAGGTAACTGGGTTAAGGTATCTGCTCCCCAGTTAAGTTTTGCATGGTTTCTATAAGAAAGTAAACAATCTTACTGAAGTGTAAAAGAGTCGGGAAATAATTTTTCCTCACTGAAACATGTGAATTCCAAGAATTACTTTTAACGATCTTTGAAGAATCTCTGCAATCTACCAAAAACGTTCCCTCCTGGTCTCCATTATTTTTCTGCCTGAAGTCGAAGCAGCAAGTCCTGCTCACACAACTGCAAGATGACATAACCTTACAGAGAGGGATACAACAAGGATTCTTACCGGATCTGTCATGAGCTTCCTCCAAGTTGGTGGCAGAAAATTTCCACTTGCAGCTGGAAATACTCCCATAAGTTGTTCAAGAGGCTTAAACTGTTGAAATTAAACAAGCAGATGTAGGACACTTCCAGCGAGCTGTTAAATCATGAATAAATAAATAAAGATGCCCTACCGGTTTTGAGCCTTTCTCAAAGTCTGAAGGCATGTCTGCAATACCCTCAAAGTCAGAAGCAAACGGAGCATAGTGAAAAGGGTAATACCAGTTCCAGGATGCGCAGCCCTAAGATAGAGAAACAAAATCAGACAAATCAGAAAAGTAAAAGAAAAAAAAAAAAAAATCTCATAGCCCAGTCACTAAAGATGACAAAATTTAGCCCAGCATGAACCGGGAGAAAGAGGAGTCCCCATGATTAGAAAAGAAAGAGCTCTTGCCTCTAAAGGTACTCTGGACTTCAGGTTGGGACACTTAACTTTTCATAGCCAGACTAGAGCGAGTGAGTTCACTGGGCAGTGAATGGAGACCTCGGGCATTTCCTCGGCAGCACAGAACAGCAGATAGACTTCTATGCCAAAGTACTCTTGCTATGTGCTAGGTTTGAGTCACTAAGGGAGACAGCCAAAGAGACAGGACCTAGCACCATAACGACACAAAAGACCTTACAGCAGAATCTTAACCTTAGCTTCAGGACACGGTAACGTACCTCATGCCTTTTTCCTCCCCCTCGAGAAAAAACACACGAGCATGTGCACATAAGCCCGATAAAACCAAGCACAAAAATTTCTTGCAAAGAGTAGGAAATCACAGTCTATCCATAGCGTTAACCAGTCCCTGGGGCTAAGCTGAGGAGCCTGTAACAACTGGACACATTTTCAACTTGTGTAGAGTTGCTACTACGTCTTGAACAGGGAAATGCACGCAGGAGACAGAGGAGGAATTTCCAAGTTCTCCGTAATTGTATAAACGGCAGAACTGTGCCAGTCAGAAAGCCATTACAGAGGTCTCAATAGGAACAGAAGTAGTATTTTTCTGGCAGCACACAGGTTGCACTACTGTGTCTCAATGCAAAAATCCCAACACTTAACTTGGGAATATGGGGGACCAGAGAACCCTGATATGATACACTCTACAAGGTGTGAAAATGTGAACAATATTTGTTGCAGGTTGAAAAGTATTGTGGTTTTAATTGTTAACTTTTCTATTCAGTACAAGCACTAATATACACTTTGGGTAACATTTTGATTTCCCCCCTATTATTCTTCTGTCTTGAATATTGGGAAATATAAAGTGCATTCACTTGAAAGAGGCAAAATAATCCTCAAAAAGGAGAAAATAAAAGTAAACTCAAACACATCAGAACACAATGCACTTTGTAAAGGAAACACGGCTCTAGAAGGTCTAAGTCAAGTTTTCACCTCCTCAGCTATTTTTCTTAGCAGTACCACTTGAAACAAAAGCCTACTATTTTGACTTCCAATTCTGAGTAAGTAAATGTCAATGATGCTCCTCCAGCGATATTTTTGGTATAAAATTACAGAGACTGTAATTATTAGATGCAATTCTTCAGATGGTTTCAGTATGTTTCAAAAGCCAGGTGGATTGGTTTCTTCCTTTTCTTTCTTTTTTTTTTTTCTCTCCAAACAGATGTTCCCACTAGTGGAACATGCTTTGCATTATTAGCTTTTTATAAAAATAGAAAAGCAAGTAATGTATTCTGTCAGAAGTTTTATGGACAATGAGCAGTAGTTATTGGAAGCAATTCTTATTACGGTAAAAAAGAAAAAAACAACACCCCTCAAGCAAACGTATTTTGAAATTCCCCGAGTCCAACAGCTTCCTATCTAAATTCCATATGGGCAGAAAGTGATTTGACTGCTACTCCACACCAATACAACGGACTGCCCGCGTACAGCAGGTTACAGTATCTTGCCTACACGTAGTTCTGTGACGCAAGTATAAACAGCAGGATGTGCACATATTTAATTGCTGCACTATTTAAGTCTGCAAGGTAATTTTTATAAGGTCTAGAGAGAGACCTGCCTTCTTTTAGAGTAATCTGGACATGAAGCAAAACGGCAAACAAAGCCCTGAACATTTGTGTACTTTCATCAAGTTTTTTTTCAGAACATTTCTAACCCAGAAAATATTTTCTGTACAGTCACTTTTCCTTGAGGTCGTATTGGCACTCGTCTCAATTTTCTGGAGAGCACTATGGTCCTGCCTGAAGTTGTTGTCAACCTCACCAATTTATTCTCTTTGCCACTGTAATCATCTATCACTTCTATATGCATCAGTCACTACAGCCAGAACATCTACAAACTCAGAAGGACATAGAGTCACCTACATACATAGCAATAATTAAATTGGTTTTACAAGCTAAACTAGTGAGCATTGCATAGGGACTTACCCATACTGTTTTAAGTTTGGTATACGCCTGTCCTACAGCTCCTATACATTTAAAGCCTCAAATCTCCCAACAGTGCACATGCAAATGTAACCCCAGTTTGAACAGTTATAAAAGCACACGATGATGTCTGCACAAGGCCATGGCCACCGATCACAGAGCAACGAACGCGCACCCCATGCACGCTTCTTTGAATAAAACAAACTTAATTTTACAGTCTTCAAATGAGTATAAATATTTTGGTGACCTCGTAAATATTATCTCAGCTTTGTTATATACTCCCTTCCTAAGCCCTTCAGTTTCCCTTAAAATCCAGACTGCCTTTTGCAGTGGTTTTGTACTACCGCATCACTGAAGGTCACGCTGACAGTTTTCCAGCACGTAGACACCTACAGCTCATCTGAAGATTCATTTACACACTTTGGAGACACACGGGCACGTATAGAGTTCTAGGAATATATCTTGCCACGGTTAACAGGAACGCAGTTTGCTTTCAGCAGACCTTAACTGTGCGCAGGATCATGGCAATTTCCACCTGTAAAGGTGTCGAGGTGACATCTGTCCTTTGCAAAAGGAGCTACACTCAAGGACATGGAGAGCTCAGCTCTCCTGCAGATCAACTGCAACGCACTTGCAAACCTTAAACTCTGTAATCTTCACCCACCATAACATGCAAGTCAGAGCCCAGACTCAACTAATTAATACAGTGGAAGTGAAGGGAACACACTCTCCCTTTTTGTTCCAAGGAGGGGGGGAAGGGAGTACACGTTAAAATAAACTAACTTTAAGACTGCTGCATAGTTTTTTGCAGGTATGTGAGGTATTTGCTCTGCCTGCGCTCTAAGTTGGACAGGTGTGAGCCACCTATGAGAAGTGTGCAGTTTTATCAACATGGCACTGCGTTCAAGCTACAAAGCCCTGCTCAGATGGATAAACTTCACTGGCTTGAGCACATTCTGTTCCCAGGTCACACACAAAATAAAACTTACTTTGTCTTCAGGGCACGAAGCTAGTTATTAACCATCGGTGCAACAAACCCCAATACATCTACCTAATCTCTTGCCAATCTGACATCTCAATTATCAAAAGATTTAAATCAGATACAGATTACTTCAATCACAATACACTTCATAGAACATCATTACAATCTATGGAGGAGACTGACAACTCTGTTCCTTTCAAATTCTTACTAGCATTTCACAGGCTTTGTCCTTTGTTCACTCGTTTAGTCATCTGCAATTTCACTATGCAAGGCTATGTATTGCAAAGGAAAAATATGCATCAGTCCTTAATAAACTAACAAGCGCCGTTACTGTATGCGAGAAACAAAAACTGCATTCAAATCTTGAGTGTCAAATAGAATGGACACCCACTTACTTTATATCTTCAAAAAAAAGCACTGCTTTTCAAATATGAGCAATGGATAATTATTATTTCCTGAAAAGAAATAGGGTGCAGACACAAAAGAAAACTGAAGTTTCAGAGAAGAAATTTTGAAGTACCTGATAATAATATCTGAGAACCCAGCAAAGGCCTTCCACATAGGACTGTACAACTTTACGACGGAATTTCTCATCAGATGCATCAACATCAAATTTGTTTTTATAGTAGCGCTGTTTCCAACCAGTTTCCCATAACCTGCATAACAAACACAAACAGATGTCAATACATGTTAATATATGCACATTTACATATCTGAATTAAAATATAAGCCAAAGTCACTTGCTACTGCAATTCCCATTTTTATACAATTTAAATGAAAGCATAAAAACTGATACTCAACAGCAAGAGAATAAAATCTGATGGTTGGCATCGTAGAAAATCCAGACAAAATTCTGGAGCTACCATCCTGATAAACACATCTTCAAAGTACCTGTTAGGAGCAGGGTAGATTTTCAAACATATGCCTGCTGCTGTCAGGACTTTTCAAAACAGTAGCGATCCTAGTCAGCAATTTCATCTTTCTTATTAGGAGTCTACTACCAGAACTTCCATTTGAACTTTGTTCTTTAAGTTCTCCAACTATTAGAAAGAGAACAAACTCTCCCCCTTCCTTATTTTGTTTAATCTACCCTGGGCCAAAAATCTTTATTTTACTGCAATACCTTCTCACATCAAGTTCATTCCTCTAGTCTTAACACCCCTCTCAAGCAGAAAAGTGATATAGTTTCTCTGCTACTCAAAATAAAAAGCAAGCAAATAAATAATAATGACAAGCAGCAGCTTGATTTCTATATTCTATTGCTGTTCAGACAAGCTATGATTACCAGCAGAATTATCTGCAACTCAGGAATCCCATGCTTGCTGACTCACATCAGATGAGTTCCCTTTTACACGGGGACTTTCAATCTTTTGTGACAGAGGTGGATACTGGAGTCAAAAGAGCTGTCTCGGACACCATTTATCCTTACTTCACACAGCTCCCCCTTATGTCTGTCTACAGATGGGGCAGGGGAAAAACAACCACTTGCTCATCTTTGACAGACAAGCACCTGAATCCCTCAGTTCTAATGTATAACGTTAGGAAAAAAGTGGATAGTGTGCTATATTGTGCCACATTTCAAGCAAGAATATTCTGTGAAGATTAACACAGACCATAGGCTCCTCTGAAAACTGAGAAGGCAGGGGGAACACAGCTGTGGTGGGCATGGGCACCAGCAGGAATCACTGCCTACAGACTCCAGAGCTCTTCTTCCCTTGGACATTTTATCCGCTCACTACATCTGCCGCGTTCCCTGCCATTCAACAGGCAACATGACAATTTTGTGAGAACAGTTGTGCCACAAGCAAGGAGCTATTAATATGCACATAAAAATTCAAGTTGTCAGTCCTAACAGACACAACGTAATCTGGGGGGAAATTCCAGTTCAATTCAGAGACTGCCATCTAAAAAGGTAGTTTAGGTAACGGAAAGATTAAGCTCTACTTAACATTTGGCTCAATCATGATATCATGCTTCAGAACTGGCCTCCCTCACAAAACTATTTGGGTTGGTTTTTGGTTTGTTTTGTTGGGCTGGTTTTGGAGTGAGGTTGTTTTGTGTTTTGTTTTTTTTTTTTTAATTTAAACCTATTATTCACTATAGTGCATATGTTTAACACACGTATCTCAAAGTTCACGTGGATTTTGGTATTCAAGTGAACTAAAGTAAAGCAAATTACAAGTTTGATTTAGAAACCAGTTAAATCAGATAATCCCTTAATAATCTTTTTTTTTTTTTAATCAGAATTTTATTCTCAACAATTCAAAACTTAGCACTGATTGTCACATCTGAAAATCACCATGCAATATCCCTTTCCACAAAGGCTGTGACCACTTTAAATTACGTACAGAACCTGAAGCACACAAGTAACCTGCGAGGTCAGCTCAAACTTACACTTGTCAGAACCTCACAGAGCAACAAAAATAGCATATGAAGCCTTTAAGAGAGAGCAAAGATCAATTTATGCTTTTTTACATGATGCACATCCTTTTGGGTTTGCAAAGATCTTCCCTTGCATCTGTTTCAAGTTAGTTGCCCAGTACAGCGGTACTTTTTAAAATCTGACCTGAGCTAGTCTAAAGATGATTCAAACTGATGAGGAGGTAGAGAAACCAAGAGATGTTTTCAAGACTTTAAGAAAGCCAGGTGAGCAAGGACAGAGCTACTTGCGCTAAAGTTCTTGACTCTGTCCTTCAAGACATCTGCAGTCTATGAGCATCTGACCCTAGGAGCTCCCCAGCAGCCACACACTTACATAAATTTCAAAAACCTTTTCTATAAGGTAACAAAACCCAACCTGCTACCTGACTAGAACTATCTGTTCTAGTTTTAAAGTAATTCTAAATACAAAATACATTTTTGCAAACAACTTTGTTGCATCTAGTACATTTATGCAGTTGTTTTTACTTACAATGAGAAGCATAACATTATTTTCCACTCAGAAAAGGATCTGAAAAAATTTTCTGAGGTACAAAAGAACTTAAATAACTGTGGATGAATGTAGCATATGCTTTTGCTTGTCAATACCAACCCTGTCAAAACTGTTGCTACTCGTAAATCACCACAGTTCATTCACACTAGTTGCTACAAAACTGTTCAAGCCTCATTTAGAACCTCTGCTAAAATTCAAATGGAAAGCAACATTAAAATTTATCCTGATTTTAGATAAAAAAATTCTGCTTGCTCGATTAAAAAACCCAAAACAATCCATTCAGACCTGCACATACAGGAAAGAAAATAAGAACGCGAGCTAGAGTATCTGCTATTGGAAGATCTGACGGGCTAGGTGTCACAAATACGTGACAACAACAGTGCTGGACACTAGTGATCAGTACTTCATGATGAAGTAGCCCTCACTGTTTTTCCATGTCCACCTACATCCCCTGACTCTACAGAAAACAAAAACCTACTGGTTGCATTTATCAGGGCAGAATCTTTAACAAAAAATTGTAAGGGCCTTCACCCTCGACTTAAAGGGCGATAGCTTGATTTAAACCTTTGATAAATGCAGACTCACTGGTAATTCACTGTCAGTTAATTCTCATAAAATTCCTATCCCTTAATCATCGAGGGATCAGCCGTCCTAAGACATTTAAAGAACTCGTCGTAGAGGAAACAGGGCCTGCCACAAATCAAAGATGGAGGAAAACATATTGTGATACATAATGCTGCACACGTGAATGTAACTGAATTTTACGGGTTAAATAGCTCAAAAATTCAACTGCAAAACAGCAGCATTCAGCTCACATAATCAAAGCTGAACAGTGAATGTCTAGCCAATCTAGTGCTTGGTCTCAAAGGGAGCAGTGGCTTGGAGGATGAAAACCTGCACGCATACTAATCTAGATACTTAGATTTAACAGCTATGGCTTACACATCTCACTGGAATTTACTGAATATTCTAACCCTCCACATTAATTACCGGTGGATAAAAAGATCATAGAAAAGCATCTGAAGGCAGTGCTGCTCTAAGCTAAATGGCATTAATTAGACTGCATCTATTTCAGCAATTTGCTAACAAAGTGCTACAAAAAATGGCTTCACCTGATATTATCCTCTGGCTCAGGTTCACTGTCACTATCTTCAGCTTTTCGCTTAATTCCTCCTGCCAGGGATGGGCTGCCATCAGAAGTCAGGCTGGTATTTGGAGATGATGAAGTTGTCTAGGGTCAGAATTATTACAGATCAATAGAGGCAGGGGGAAAGGATTTATGAGGCATTTTAAATTCAAGTTAGAATTAACAGCTTTGTGATAATCACATGCATTATTTTTAGATCCCCCAAAACTCAAGGCAAAAGCTACACAATCCTTAAGTCAAGTAGCAAAAGCAAAGAAGAACACATCTTTGTATTAAAAGGCAGGCATTGATACACACAGGCAAAAAGATCATTGTATTTGAGAAAGAAGAAGATGCAATAAACAAGACAGTATAAATTGATAAAACATCTAATTTTGGAACGGTTGTCTCTAGTTCTACAGCTTATGTTACAACTTCATTTTACAGCAACGGTGAAAAATGCATACACAGACTACTGTAAAAACGCTGCTTGCAATTCAGAACTGGCAGAAATACCCTGAAATTTCTTCACAACTGATCTTCTAAACTCCTTTCAAATTTATCTATTTTAATATTACAGAGTCCAGAAGAAACTTCTCCCATTCCATAAAGGAACTATTTGCTTAACCCATGAGCAAAGTTTCAAGATTAAAAGGGAAGAATAGCACAAATTATACTTTGAAAAAGCATATTGTGTTTATTTAGACTTGAGAGACAGAACACACATCTTTATGATAAGGACCTTTAATGTGTTCACTGTTTGGATGAAGATTTATGCCCAGAAAGAAAATATTTGTCATAACTGTTATTTAAAGTTAACAATCAAGACTTCTATCAGAGCACTCAACTCATTTCCAGTTTTCCCTCACTTTCTAATACCTTTCCAAAAACTTCATCTAAGTTTCTCCTCTTCCCAGTGAAAAGCAATGCTTTGGAAAGTAAAAGCTGCTGACAAATATGTAGCTATGCAAATCACAAGTTTCCAAAATACAGGTATCTGTGTCTGTGTGTGTACACAGATTCCAAAAAGAGTATTAAAAGACCTCCAGCTCAGGTACTCAGTTTGTGTCTCTCACAAACCTCCTGAGGAAGTTCCTAAACCTGTACTCACAAGGAGGTTTGACTCCACAAGTGCCAAACAAGTTTGGGGAGAAGAGCCACCATATTTGACCATATTGGATGCATTCACCTCACACTTGCCCTCCCAGAACTGTTTAACAAACAGTATCATACCAAACATTAAAATAAAGAACACAATTTTATTCAAGTAGTCTCACAAAAATTGATTATTAAAAGCCACTTCCTTGAAAAGTAAGTTTTTTGGTGCCTGCTTTTCAAGAAAGCTTGATGGGGCAGAGAAAAAGGTGTCCAGAGTAACACAGGATGTGATTATTTCCCCTTCTATGTGTGAATACCTTTGAACATCTACTTACAGAATTCTGTCTGTCATGCATCCTCATCTCAAAGGCGGCTTGTCTAGGGTTACTGATTGCCTGAGGACTAGATCGATTTCCCAGAGCTTGAGGGGAAAACTGTCCACCAGGAATAAAAGAAGGCTGATCCCTCTAAAAGGTAAATATATACAAGTATACTGAAAAAGCTGTGTGATCTCCACAGCAGCGTGATGATGCTCTCTCAGTTTTCAGATTAACTTGTTTTATATAAACAAGCATAATTTACTCACTCAGTTCAGCTTAAATTACTTACATTTAACAATCTCAACCAGACATAAGATGACACTTACAAGTGAGACTCTTATATTCCTATAGTTTATTAAGTTTTTTAAGTTCTTTAAAAAAAGAAAACACGAAACCAAAAACCCACAAACCCAAACAAACCCTGCATTTTGTGCCCATGTTCTTTCTACATGGGCTGAAAGGCAGTTTTTTGGGGGGAAGTGAAACTTCATCTAACTTACTGGGAAGAATGTATTCTTTGTAAGCAAAGTGAATAACCTCCTCCACTCTAATAGGGATAGTCAGAAAGTATGTAATTTAAAAAATAAACACAAGATCTAGATAGTACTCAGAGTGGGGATATCATACACCCTGAAAGTTTTGGAAGCTACACTAATCTGAACATCCTAACCAAGAACAAAACTATGTTGAAATGAACATACAAGAGCCCATTTTTAAAATATCAGAATATTTTGTGACTAGAAGAAAACTCAACATCATTCCAATAACATAATTTTAAAGAATTCAGCTTACATGGGTCAGAAAGGGCAAACACATTCCCACAACATCTCATGGTTCTCTTACATTTGAGAGATATTTGACAACGCTGACTTGCTTGCAGGCAGAATGTGAGATAACCATAGCTTGGGGTAAGCCTTCCTTGTTTTTTTAGAAACATAGCTCTAATCAAGCAAATCCATTCAATGCAACCTGGTATACGTATTTAAACCTAAACTCTTAGGCTAACTCCACTGCCCTCAGCAATACAATTGCTGAGAAGACTTGTGTCAATGCACGGAAAAGCAATTCCTGTACAGTGACCATGCCGAAGCATCACTAAATAATCATGGAAGTGAAGATTTGTGCAGATTTGAAGGACACAACATACAGCTATCATCCAGCCATCCAGCGCATTCAACATTCCCCCTCCTTTCCCTTTTAAGAAACCTTTAATATACAATTCCTTCTTTCAAAGCTCCAGTCTACAAAAAGCCATGAAAAACCCCTTTAAAATAGTTTACACAAAGGCCAGAAAACACCATGATTACAACTGCAGTTTCAACCAACACATCTGCTGAAAGCTGTAGTATACATTTTAATTCTTGCTAGTTTTTGCATTGTGAAAGGAATCAATTTACCTTCATTCTTTTTCTTTTTTCTTTTTGCCGTCGTTTAAAGTTATCCTAAATAGAGAATAAAGAGAAATAAAGTTAGTCAAGCATAGAGATTTCTTAGAAAAATATTTCATTATAATCCTCTACTGACCAGAAGGCCATGAGGTTTTTACATAATTTTCTGAATAAGACATAGGTCAATTCTTGTGTCTGTAAATCCAATGGAAATGGGATAGAATTTTCTACCCTACCCTGAAAACCTATGGGGGGAAAAAAAGTAGCTGTGTATTCAAAGCCCCACAATTTTGGTAATGACTTGTATCATCTACTAAGTTGAGCTATAGCCTTACTTGAAGGTGAAAGCAGTGTCAAAGGAGACAAGCTCCTTGCCTGGACTGGAGCAGCCGACAAAAAAAAAAAAAAAAAAAAAAATCCGGGGAGGGGGCCAGCCGAAAAAAAAAAAAAAAAAAAAAAAATTAGGAGACATGAAAGTCCTAGAAACGGGAAAAGAAGAGGCTCAAGGAAAGATATTTCTTATTCTTGGGCCATGGAAACTGAAAACTTGGAGGTGCAGGCTGTGGCAGTTATAAACAAAACATTTTTTTGCCAGCACTGGCACAGTATTTTCTGACTGGAAAGTAAATACAATTCTGCTCTTCCATTCACAAGGTGTTTTATCCCCTGTACTTAAGGAATAAACTGAAATATGTCTGAAAAAAACTGCACAAACTGCAGAGACAGACCAAAAGAACAACAATTTATGGACACATTTCAAATGACAGGAGGTATCGCAAGGCAAGAATGCACTTGGAATTCAAATTTAGTGTTTCACCCTGCTCGTGGCTTGCACTTCCACAGGTTGCAGCAAGTAACAAAACAATTCTTTCTTCAGTTTTCATAGCGGCTATTGAAAAAGCTGCAGGCAGTAACAGAACTCACATTCACTTTTTGTTTTGCTGTTACTTGGGATAACAATCAGAAAAACAGGCCTTGCAGTCCAGGAAAAGAAAATCAACTGGAAGCACGCAATTCTTTTTTGAGTACAGAAGAATTCACTAGAGATTATAATAAAAAAATACAAAGTTTGGGTTTTTTCTTATTCTGCTAAAGGAGTGTCACAGGCTAACAGTAACACATGCGATTAAAACCAAACTTGAAGAATGTAACAAAAAGAATTACATCGTCATCTTTTCTCTTTTTGAAAATACTATCTTCAACTTCTCCAACAGCTAACATGATCATCTGTACTCGCTGTAGGTTGACAAAACCACTTTCTGTGAGGTATCCCTGCAAATGAGAAAATACAGTTGAAAAACAAGCCTATTTTTGTAGCAAACACCCAGATATTTTTAAAGAAAAAGCAAAAAATTTACCCCAGTTTTGTGCACCACATTTTTATATATGTTAACCAAGCGATCAATTGCTCCCTCCCTAAAAACAAACAAACAAAAGCATGAGGTTCTTGTCATTTAAAACCACAGTAGGTATACTTGCAGGAAAAGACGACATATATTTTCATCTACCTGATCTCCAAAGATGGCAGATGAGGAAGAAAGTCATTTCCCACAAAGAAGCACATAAAGACCCAGTCATCAACACTTCTTTCAAAATCAAAAGTGAAAGGTAAACTGGCCATAGTGAGTTCTCTTTCCAAATACTGCAACACACACACAAAAGGACATTAGAAAACACTGTGTATGGAGTTTAAAAATATTATTTATATAAAGCAGATACAGTAACTGCTTTCAACATACCTCTCGCAAAACACATAATCGGATGAAGATAAATTCTTGTTCAGCGATGGGAAGACTGTCTGCAAACTGATCGTGCTAAAATAAAAGGAAAGAGTTGCATTACACCCAAGCTCACCTTACCGTTTCTCCCACTCAATGTTAAAGGCTTACTTTGCGAGAAGTTAAGTCTGATCACTGCATCTTGCCAGCAGGGAAAAAAACCCCCAACCAAACACACACACCAACAAAACACCAAAAGTGAGGATGATAGGTTTGGCATAATAGTTTAGTGCTATAGAAGTACAATTTTTACTTACTAATGTAAGAGGAAAGCTAGGTAATTCCAATAATATAATTTGCATTATGCTTCAGCCAAAACCAACAGCAAGAACAATTTGAGGATCTCATTAAAACATAAATTAGCTTACAGATAAAAAGGATTTCTAGAAATAGCAAAATTCTTACCTTGCCTTGTTTTTCTCTGGGCAAACCTTGGCAATCCTTAACCTCATGACCCATCTGGTTACAAAGACTACATGGCTTGGGTTTATTTGGTTTAAACTCCTCCCTAATTATTGTGAAGTTTGGTTCATGTGTAGCTAACCCAAGCATAATCAGATCAGCTACCAATCAAAAGAGAAGAATAAAATAAAATGAAGGATAAACATTATTAAACTTTTTTTTAAAAAAGGCTTAAAAACAAAGCACATTCTACCTTAGGCAAGCGTGAACACACAGATGTGCTTACCCACAAACTACCCAGACAGTACAACTAAGCGAAAGAGCTCTTCAGCTATGGACAGTGCTAGATCTTTCCCCATATATTACATAGAACTTTCAAAAACTCACACACACACTGGATTATTTACACAAATACAAGTGAAAGCCTAAAACTACAGCCCAACTCAATCACAAAACAGCACAAGAAACCTTAGTGGGACATATTGCTAGCAAAAGAGAACTCACCATCAGCCCCACACAGACAATGATGAGTGTTTGGGTCATGGTTTGGTTGAGCTATACAAAAGAAAATTACATTTAATCAACCAAAGTCACGTAAAATAAATTATTACTGACCATACCTTAATTTAAAACAAAACATTCACATTTATCTGAATTTTACCTCTTTGTCTTCTAATGTAATCCATGATTTTATGTTCACCTTCACCAGGAGCACTAGCATCAGACAAAATAACCTGCGAAACATTTAAATTATGTAAACAATTTATGCTGCCACAGTAAAAAAACCCAAACTTACGCAGTTCATATACTGAACACTGAATCTGACTTACGAATACTTGAAATTCTAATTTGTAGTTTTAACTAAAATACGATGATTCAAAATGAAATTATTTTAAGCGTTTGGAACCAATGAACAGAACTTCATTTTTCTCTACTAATTCTAGGATGAAGCTGACCTATTGATTCAAATACCACTGAAATTATCACATCATTAACTAAGATATTTCAAGTTCCCTGGTATCAGGGCAATCGAAATATGCTCTAGAGAACTAACAGATAAAGCAGACATATGCCCGCTTCCCTTTAGATCTTCCAAACTCGTATATACACTGATACATTATCACGTTACACACTTCCTTACACTGATGTCCAGATGAGCACTAGCATTTATAAAACTCATGTCTGATGGAGGGAATTAAGCAGAGTCAACTGCCCTCTAATTAAACCACTTTAACAGTCAACTTATGGAAAATAAAAGACAGCTGCCTCTGAGGAGATTGACTATTCTGCCCCCTTCTACAGAGCAAACACAGGGTTGTCAGAAACAAAACTCAGTGGGCGTGGAGTGGTTGGGGAACAGGAGGAGACAATTTCAGTCAAGAAAGCTGCTATGCATTATTTTCATTGCCTGTGATCTATTGTCATCCATCGTTAGAATAACAGAGAAAATGCAGCCTACCTGAGGTACTCAACGAGTTAAAAAAGGAACAGTGAAAAGAATACATATACAACGTATCCTGACACTTTTCCCCCCGGAAGAAGGAAAACTATTCCTAAAACACTGTCCCCCCCATTATATCAAATTGTGCCTTCTACTATCAAATCTTTTCATTGCTCTTAAATGAAATAAAAAAAATGGTGCTGTTAGATTGTGTTATTAGGATGAAATGTATCTCTGAAGACCCAGCAGAATGTGCAAGCTGGTCCATTATTAATAACAGCACAGTGCCAGAAGATGAGACTAATCTGTTAAATTTATACTCTTCAATCATATCCCAACCCAGCCTAATAGATCACCTTAATTTTCCTGAAGTATAAAACCGTGAAACTTACTGTCAAATTTTTCCACCCTGGGTCGCTGTTCAAACGGTCAGCAATGTAATAGCGGAGACATTTAGCGAGATTGTCCATAAACTCTGTTCCCTAAAAAGTGACAGAAGAAAATAAATTAAACCTTCATTCGGACACCGGCAATTGCTGGTTAAAGTGCAAGATTACTTACCGGAGTAATACAGTTGCTGTCAAATCTCTCTTTCACTTCTTCTGGAGGAAGAATGCCACCTAGAGCAATAAAAATATTTAACAGAAGTAAATCAATATGGAACTTTAAAAACATTTTTGCATGATAAAACCCCAGATGGCTCCCCTGATAACAACTAACACTTACTGAAAGTTAGTTTGTTTAAAAACAAACAAACAACAAAACTAAAACAGCTCTTACCATTATATTATCTCCATCTTAAAATAAGGTATTAGTACATTTACAAAAGTTGTTGTTACTTCAGAAAAGTGATTTCACTACCTATTCTGTCAAAAGACTGTGAAAGAAATCTCAAAGAAACTAAGCTTGCTAAATGAGATAAAACATTAGGAAATAATTATTTTCTTACATATTCTCCCCTATGTTTCCACTATCTATTCACTTGGGCTCACAAACAGGGTTACACCAACTTCTCTCATCTCTGAGCTTCATAAAGGGTCTTCATAGTCTAGAAATGCTACAGGAAGAAATGTTAAAAAAAGTCTTTGTCCTCCCTTTTTAATCTCTACCTAGGTTACACAATGCCCTCTCACTTGGGCGACAGCATTCATTCCTCCTACACAGTCACCTGAATTAATTGCTCCAGCCCAGACCGCATGCTTCAGCTACACACACTCCTTTCACTCGAGTCACGTCACTGTCACCCTGACTTTGTTTCCTCACCGAGTTTAGAGTTTCCACTGTCAAGTAACTACCCTTGCTTGCAGCTCATTATTCCTGTGCAGCAGTATTTTCATTGGATCCCTGCTTGTAAGCCTCAAGTCTCCTTTCATCAAGCCCTACTAATGTGTACTTCCTTCCATAAGAGTTTTGGTTAGTTTCCCACTACTACATTTATCCCTGCTCTTCTGTTATATTTTTTTCTAAAGGAATTAAGAGTACTCAACACAAATCCATTTCAGGCAGGAGACAGAAGAAGAAAAAAAAGTGACATTTTGTTTTATCTTAGTTCTTAACTTCAGAAAACACAGATGCATCCTTCTGTAGGCTTGCTATCCCCTTCTTCTCCTAGTAATGCACAGACAAATATCCGCTAAGCAAGACATCCCTTTTCTAAACCTTACTGAAGCATTCAAAACAAACAAGGTGACTCTCACTGGAAAAACCCCAGATATGGCCACAGTTCTACCTTTTGCCAGAATTTCTTGTCTTATTTTTTGCTTCTCTTCAGCAGCTTCCATGCCCTCCTTTGATGCTCTGAATCTTCTTGACCGCTGTTGATTCATTTTTGCACGTGGAGCCTAAAAAAGGTATCACAATGCTTGGTTCAGTTATTGCATCTGGACAATTGTTTCCTTCGTGGACAAGTCTTTTGAAACTGGCCAGTCTGTGATGATACAACCATTTAACAAGACATCAGTCTAAACCGCAACCGAAACAGGGGTTTCTGTTGTCCCTCCCTCGCGTCACCACTAGCTCTCATTTGGCAGCACAGGGAGCTGCACACGTTTCTGAATGGGTCTCAAGCTTCTCCATGAGGTAAGCCAGCAGCATGCACAGCTCTACTCCCATCGCAGAAATGCACAAGGCTCAAGGATTCAATGCTTCCCTTGCAAAATAAATGAAATTTACAGTGACATGTATCTGAGAAGCATTATTTATTACATACCCTTTCTCCAACAATTGTATTTGTAACGCTTTTGAAAATAAAAAGACTACGGCAAACAGTAGCTAGCTATTACTTATGGCAGGTATGTTGGGGTTTTTAAAAGGATACATCAACATTTAGCTGGGATTACTTCTATATACGCACATACATTAGGAATCCCTGCACTTGAGTTCAGGTTGAAAATCTTTTTACTTAATGATACTCATTTTACCTTTGAGAAACTGAAAAGCCTAGAAAAACAGCCAAAGCTTAACAGGCACACCAGCAGTCTGCTAGCCAGTTTGGCATCTCTCAATGAGACTATGAGACAATGAGTCTGGGTAGAAAAATACTCAGTAAAGTGAAGTTATTAAGAAAAGGTGGTATCTTTCATTAGACCAACTGATGTACCGAGGGGAGATGAGGATCAGGTAGGGAGAAAGACAAGCTTTCAGCTTCAAATGTGCCTTGGAGCTAGCCTGTGAAATATTCCACAGCACATTCAGTCACTGCCCATTTTAAGTGCATCTGCTTAAACGGTCTTCTGGTCTTTCCCAGCCTGTGGCATAAATTATTACTAAAGCCACAGAACAGAAGAACATAAGTAGCTTCAGAGTGTTACTGCCTTACAGAAGTTTCCTGCTCTACAGAAGCAAAGTTCAGACTGCAGTAGACTACATTAGCCAGCTCATATAAGCCCATGGACAACAAAACCCAGGGATACTTTTAATTACCCTCACCAAAATTAAATTAACGGTATATTTTACCTGTAGTTTCTCATTCTAGAAAACTATTGCCTAAAGGATCTCATGAGAGTGGGTGGCTTCTACCCTAATTCCACAAACAGCCATTACGAGGAATTAAATATATATCAATACTTACTACTCCATCTATAGCCATGTAAAGAAGTCGCCTTGGTCTTACAATGTTGAAGATCCTGTCGATATACTCAAAAATCGCAACCATCATCTCATCTTCATTTTTGGGTGCTGGCCTAAAACATAGAGAATTCAATTTAACATCTGAAATGCTATCAATAAATCCTACTTGTAAAGAGAGAAAGAACTGGCTTACTTGTCTTCTGGATGTGTACAAGGGTGAATTATACCATTCATATCCAAATACAGGTTATCAAACTCCACCTCATTAGGGTTAGGTTTGCTTGTATCAATCGGAGCCTTGACGCCATTGCACTCTTTAGCCTGTGAACGCAGCCGAAACAAATATTTCAGTACTTCATTACAGAAGTATTGCAAATAACCAATAGAGGTATTAATGTACAGGCTCATAAAAGTTTGGGTTTTTTTTCCAAGGGCAGTAGAAAAAAAGATAGCAACAAGTTACCCACATAATTACCTGAAGATGCATGCTTACACTATTAAAATAGCGCCTTTTTTTTTTTTTTTTTTAAAGATGCTTATATACTAGCACAACTAGAAGATACTATGATGAGTTACAGCAGAGTCGGTTCATTTCTGTTATCAGCATGTATTATAAACAAGAAGTTTCCACACCTCATAGTATTCGAGAAGGCAATTCCTTCTACTGCCAGGACCATACTGGCTCCCTCAAAATTTAGCAAAGGGACTTCAAAGTTTATAATATGATACTATAACACAACAACCAAGAAGCATCAAAATCTTTCTACTTTAAACACTTAGTTCCCCAGACTGACACATCCATACAAACTTGCACCTCTGCCGTTTCTCACTGCAGTCCGATATTGAAGTCACACGCACAACTGGGGGAAGCAGGGCAGTAAAAGTGATTCACCTATGGCTGATGACACGACAAGCTTCCCAAAGTATATCAGCACATCCCGGTGAGCAAACGACGAGATTTAACTAGAAAGAGTCCTTTTCCTGGACTTCTCTGCACAAAGCAAGGAGATCCTTTCAGATCCCACCAGCCAAATCTCCAATTTGGGTATATATGTATTACTTTTCTTGCTATCAAATGCACCGAGATGCTCAAACCCCTGGACTCTTCAACTCCTGCCTCTGAGTTTGTCTGCGGGTATATTTGAAATGCTAAATAAAATCCAGTCCTTACCTTCCACTTCTGCAAATAAGTAAACTTTTGACTCTAATGCTTCACTTCTACATCAGTGCTTTTTCTACTGCCGTGCTGCTGCCTAATGAACACGAAACCCAGGCCACAGTGCAGATGGTAAACTTGATGCTAAATTATAATCAACCTTAACCACCTATGTTCCTGTACTAGTTCGACATTCTTGAACGCTTACAACAAGCTATACAAGGTAAACCCAGAGGTACAAAGAAAACAAATCTCAGCTGAACTGGAAGCAATAAATAATTCTACGCTATTTTGCCTATGCTGTCATGTCAGTGACAAGTAACTACCCAGGTGAAGAGAATAATCTCTCTAATCAGCCCCAGAGCAGAGACTGGAGTTGGCACTATAATACCTATATTAAAAAAAAAGAACCCTCATCCCCTTCTCTCAAGCTGTCTAAGCAAGCAGTTTTGAAACACTGGTGTTTCAGAGAGCGGCTCCTCTACAAAGTAGATTAACAACCATGTTCAATTTTGTTTCCTCACCATACTTTTTTTTTTTTTAAACATATAAACACCAACAGCATCAGGGATGGAAGAGACATGAGCTGATCAAGAAAAAGTCAAATTTATTTTCGGAGAAATTATGACAGGAAAGGGTTTTAACATATCACAAAGTTGGAATGAAGAGTACTCTTGAATAACTTGGCATAAAGCAAGGAAAAAAGTGAATGTCATGTTATTACATAAAGGCTATGATCACAGCATTACATGAGACAGGAGGGAAAAATGTGATACTACTTGTCCTCCGATTCATGTGAAACTTATCGGTAGCTGATGAACGAGCATCAAGCCCTTCCTCTAAACTTCTATTTGCAGACTTGCTGCTCACTACTCTTTTATTGAGTTTCCTACATCTCTTATACAGAGCTCAAACAATCAGCTTCAAAAGGAAAAACTTAGAGATTGTACCATCAACGTTCACGCAATTTTCCTGCTTAGAGTAGCAGCGGAACTAGCTGAACTTATCCCAGTCTTAAAAGGCAAAAATTAAAACCTCTAGAGGAAAATAAGTCTTTATTAGGTATTTACATTTTTCACAGTTATAGGTGTATGGAATTCTTTCAGGGCAATTTTGTGAAGTAATTTTTAAATAACTGACTGCTAAGTCCCTCTATTTCACTTCTTTAAAACAGGTGACATTTCTGCTAATTCACTTCTTGTGCTATTCACCCAAACTAGTCAAATCCTGACAGATGAAATCTGTTTGCTTCCTTTACTGAACTTTCTAGAACACACACAAAACCCGCATGGTTTTAGCAGAAGCTAACTGTCAGGTGCAAACACCGCACCGTAGCTTGCAGTTCTAACAAAGTTACTCTGGGCAGCCACGACCTACGATTTGAAGAGACGAGCATTCATTCTGGTTTACATCAGATAACGGGACGAGAAGCTTGCCTTGTGTTCTACTTGATCCTTCTTCAAACCTCTTGCCAGAGCTGACTGACTCACAAGACATCAAAGGCTTACAACTATGTGATATGGAAAATAAAACTGCCCCCGCCACAGATCTTATTTTCAGTCTTGAAGGTACAGCAAAATAAGTATGATCTCTTTCAGATGGCTTTGAAAGCCATTCAGTTCTCATCTGCATACTGCTATGTCAGCAAGTTTACCATTACATCCTCATAAACCTATCAGATTTTTAATGTAACAGCCTTGTAAAAGGTTTAAGTATCTGAGAGTGATATCTCTTGTGATACAACTAAACTGTTCACTTTTAATCTACAGCCTCTTTTGAAACCATTGAAAATAGATCTTCAAATATGATACTTTAGTTGCAGCTTTATTAATTCATATGAATTTGATTAAGAATATTCTCTCCTGGATTTTATATTATCTTCAAGATCTTCCTCTTATTCTTCCTGCTCAGCTTAAGAAGATGATTAATCAGATTTAAGAAAAAGAAATAATCTAGCAAGGTAAGAGAACAAGGATCAACTTTGTAATATTTCAAAGAGACAAGCTACCGGGAGATACAAAATTTCTGATTAGAGAGATTTCTAAGCAATCCTAAAATACACATAGAGCTGATTACATTGTCAGAGAAGTTTAAATTCATCTACAGTAAGACAAACTACGGCTTCTCACTACTGTCCTAGTTCGCTCTCAAATTTATGACCAGATTTGAATATAAAAAATTGTAATGAATATGATTTATCCATGTGCTGTCCTTACCGTAACTGCAATGTGCTCTTAAGTTGCAACAAAGCAATGTGGATGAGGACATCAGGATCTGATATTTCAGTTATTATATATGTCATATTTTTCCTTTTTTTTTTAATGAATAACATTTGATATTACAAGCTCAATTAGTAAAAAACCAAAAGGACAAATCACAAACTCAGTAAAACCAAGACTATATAAGCCTTTATTTTGCCTAAACACTAGAGCAGTTTTAATTAAATAAAAATTAATCTAAATGTTTACAAATGTGATGAAAAAGATAAGTCTGCTCTTAGAGGAAACCGTACTTAATTGCTGCAGACTGTAGATATATTTGTGTTTAAATTGTGACTGCTTTTAAATAGACAGATCTTAGAGCACTACCCAGGAGCAGCTGGACAAGCTTGTAAGACCAAAGAAGTAAAACACCCACTTACAGTAAAGACAACACTGTAAAAGAATCTACTTCATATTGTGAAAACTCTATTTGCCCCCTCTTTTTTGCTTCAAAACATCACAACTAAACTTCACGTCGTGGGCTCTTGGCCGTTCCTGCGCGCCGAGGCTACCTCACCAGCGTGGTCATCAATGTGACAGGTAGCGGACGGAGCTGCCGTCTCCGCAGTCTAACTTTACGGCTGGAACGGATGTTCATTCACGCAAGTCAGCCTTGGATGTAATGAAGGAAAAGGGGGGTTTGGTGGATGAAAGGCTTGGACCGTACAGCCAGTTGTGATGCTGACTGTAAGCAAAAGACCGAACTATTCATCTTTGCAAGTTCCCCACTTTGGTGAAAAGGGGACAAAGCAAATCAGCCGGCGTGAGTTGAAGACAACAGGCAGGATATGTGCACGCACCTTCAGGCACTAGAGCTCTGAAGATCCACAGCCCCAGCTGCAAGAAGGCAGATGCCATGTCAACAGTCATATGCCAAATAGGTGCAGCTGGTAGAGACACACCCCCCCCCCCCCCCCCCAATACCCTTGCCACCCACTTTTCCTTGGCAGATACAATCATGACAGTGTCCCTGAAAACCCTCTGAACTGGGGGTTACCCAGATCCTCAGAATAGATCACATCAGAGACACAAAAAACACGCGTTTGGTAAGGCGACCGGAACAACCACTCCTAGCTGCCAACAGCTTATTCCAGAGTAAGCATTCACACGAGTGGCTAATAAGCTATACTTGTAAATCCACAAACAGTCTTTTTCTGTAATAGTTCCCCCAGGCAGACAAATCCTCAAATCTCATATATCCACTGGAGTAAAAAATTCACTTCTTGCAGCTACAGGTAAATGAACTTCACATATCATGCTGTGAGAGGCTAACTGAAACCACAATTGCAATAAAAACAAAAGAGTAACACGCAGTTTTAACTGTGCAACATTAGATCAAGCCAAATCTACGATTCTGTTTCACAACCTGAATCTGAAATGCAAAAGCGCCCTGACTGTAACAAGAACTGAATACTAAAACTGGTCTGCCTGCCATTCGCATACACTGAAATCTTGCTGAAGGCAGACAGGTAATACATGCAGTCAAAAAAAACCCCCAACCCCCACTCAGTGTCAATACATAATTCTATCACTTTACTTTCTTTTCCCTTCTCTACCTCACCCACACATTTCTATCTTCCTCACAGGACAGTGTTTCCCAAATGTGAGGCACCTCTCTCCCAGGGAAGGACAGGAGGTAGCAAAAAGGCAGGAGCCACAGCGTGTGCTCCACAGCAGGGACGTGAACTTCCAAAAACAGTATTATGAAGAACAGCAGAACACAGCTAGTACAACCTGACAAAAGATGATACAAATTATTTGGAAAAGTGTACAGGAAAAACAGTTTGGGAAGCATGAACTCAAGAGTTTTTCTTCTCAGAAAAACTTTGGCTAAGTTAGCCCTGAAGAGAATAACTTGCCGTGTTCACCGCACTGTAAAGCTACCACAGTGCAGCCATTTAAACCCAATGCAAGGTTGTGCTGTTGCTGAAGGGAG